CCCCAAAACCCCAAAACCCCAAAACCCCAAAACCCCTAATGTGATATTATTATTTGAATTTGAAGAAAATGGACCTTAACTCACATGATATTCGAGAAGTATTCAACATAATTCTCAAATTATCTGAAAATCCTGATAGCCAGACAATAAACCTGAAAGATTTTAAGAAACTAATTAATTTGTACGAAGTTCAGCTGCACAAAGGAATGAAACTCACTGACCATGAGTTTCATGAAAGCTGAAGACAGCTGTTCTTCCAGTTGTGCCAGAAGTACAGTGCTAGCAAGTATCACACGATTGGGCCTACCTCAGGGAAGAGCCGGCTCAAGAGCCCTTCCAAAGAGTTATCGAAAACCTTAAAGTTTTCGATTTGGAAGAACAATTTACCCAAATCTTCTTCCGTCGGGAGGAAGGAGTGGGTCCAATCAGCTTCCTTGCTCGGTAAAGCTAACTCTTCAAAGGATCAGACCCTAACTTCTTTACAGAAGTTAAGGGATGATCGGAAGAAGGCTAAGCAGTCCTCAATGATAGAGGACTCTGAAGAACCCAAAGAGATAGAGCACGAGATGGTAGAGGAAGATAAACTTGACTTCGCCACTTTTAAAGCAAATTACACTGAATTTGTCACCGTCAGAACTCTAGTTCAAATTATTCATGAAGTTGGGCTGAAGGAACTGACTGAAACTAATGATACTCCAAAGAACCCAATCGAGGATTTAGCCGAGCCCAAAGTTTTCTTGGATGAGAATTTAGATGCATCCGAGGAAATAGATGATGTTGATGAATATGAAAACGAAGCTCGCGCACAAGCAAGTAGAACTATAGAAATGAAAAGTAAGAATCATATCTATGTACAAAATCCTCTTATCCGTAACTCTCAATCTCGAAGGAAGTGGAGTAAGGATGAAGCAGTTATTCAAGGGAAATCCTTCTTAAAAGATATTGGAAATGTTGAAGGCCTCCAAGACACTATTCAAGTTGTTATGACAGATCCTTTAGAAAGTAAAGGACCCGCACAGAACTATAACAATGAAGTTGAGTTATATGTAGAGGAGATCGTCGAAGATAAGGATATCAGCTGGAATGACTCTCCTCACAAGCAAGTCAATCAAAACATAGAAGAAGTATTTATTTCTGATGATAAAAATATACAGGTAAGATATTAGGAAAACATTTTTAGAAACCTTTACGCCTGAGTGCAGTAAAGCTCACAGACCAAGACCAGGAAGATCTGAGTAAGAGACTCAGCATTCAATCAAGTTCATCTCAGAAAGATCAACAAAACAAGAAGAGTTTGATTCCTGGTTTTATTCCTATAGAGAATAGTTCTCATTACAAAGAAAAATATTCTATCGTAGCTGAAGTGGCAGGTAAGATACTTTCTCAAGATATAGAAGTAGAACCCCTCAAAGACCCAATCCAAATGATTCCTTATGAAGAGGAACAAGGAGAGATCGTACTCCCAACGCGGAAGCAATATAAAGATAAAATCTCTCCTAAGAGGGGTGGCAAAAAGAACCAAGCTGGGTGCTGAGGAACTTCAAATTGTGTGATATTTTAGTCTTTCATAATATAATTCTCTTGTATTTCAATTGAATCCTCACAACTTGGGGTTTTGGGGTTTTGGGGTTTTGGGGTTTTGGGG